CCCCAAAACCCCAAAACCCCAAAACCCCAAAACCCCGCTAAAGATAATCAATATTGAGTCAATTTGAAGAGTGGGATTACTTGATCATCTGGGCAAAATCATGCAATTTATCAAACATCTTGGCAAAGAAAGCTGTAATTGATTCCTCTATTAGCTTCTTGAATTGTACTCCTACTTCAGCGGACTCTTTAATATCTGGAAGGAACTTCTGGTACATTTGGTTCAGAATATTCTCAGAATCTTTATCTGGTAGGTCTTCTATTTCTGAGTGAATCATCAAATAACATAAGTTCATGATATACTTAGAGTGGTTACGTAGGAACTTGAAAGCAGTCACGCACTTATCAAGGAACCTTTGGTAGTTAAGAGAGTTGAAACCACCCATGCAGTCAATCATCTCAGGACAGATTCTAATTGGAGGCATAATACTTTTCCTAGGAGGGTTTTTACCAAAGATGAATCCGAAGTCTACATGAAACATTCTCCCATTCTGGTCAATTAGAAGATTTTCTAAGTGTCTGTCGCCAACTGCAAGGAGGTAAGTTACTACTCAGTATCCTGCTCATGAGTCTAAATAACTTTCAAATACTGTTTCGTATGGTGTCTGAGTTTCAAGACTGCACTGGGTCAGGAATCTATCAATCTTTGAATTATATTTATGAAGAATATCACTGATTGTTTTACATCTTGGCACAAATTCGACTAGCCCGTCATCAGGAGTAAAAGCCAGTACTTTATAGACAGTAAATTTGAAGTCATAATTGATCTTTTTGAGTAAGAAATCCATTAAGTCGATCATCTGAAGAACGAGCTGGTCTTGTCTAACATCATCACCAACTTTGTACATCACGTTATAAAGCCCCTCATCGACACTTGGGAGTTCTAAATCTTTAGTATGCTGTGTCACTTTAAATGTTAATTTTAAAGGACACATTGCACTTGGGAAGACGGAGCATTTGCTAGGGATGATACCACAGACCTGAACTTCTGGGTCGAGAGGCATAGGAGTAGGGTCAAAGCTAGTCATATCAAACATTCCGCCTTCAGATAAGACTCTTTGGAGCTCCTCTTTCTTTTCCCCGACTTTGTGTATTTTACGAATATGACTCGAGACTATCTTCAACTTATCTCTGAAGGCTAGTTGCTCACTCAGACTTTGATGTACTTCAGGGTTATCTTGTAAGAGTTGAGCCAGGAAACTCTCAACAAGTACCTTATATTGCTCTCTAGTGTCAGGAAGGCTTTTGTCATTCTCTTTTTCAAGCTTTGCAATCCAATAAAAACTATGGGCAATTTTTGAGTTGCTGGTTACTCATGATAAGAAAAAATCTTTTAGCAAGGTTTGATTAGAGTCCTCATATCTGTATGCTTGCACCAATTGCAGTAATATCAAATGAATTGAATTGATATCCTCTTGATACAACCTCTTGATAGCCTTTTTGCGTATAGGGTCTCAACAATCTGACTTTATAGATGGAGGGTAGGTATCATTTGAGCTAAATAGAGCACTAAGCATTGGAACAGCATGCTCAAGGTTGATTTCCCACTCATTCAGCATCTCAAGAGCTTCGTTTTTCTCCTTTCTTCTCTCCCAGTCAACAGAGCGAAGGAATTTGACAATTCCACTTTTGTATCTTTCATCGTTTTTCAGAGGATATCTGTATTTCCAGAGTATGTGCTTTTCTTTATGAGAAAGCTCAGAGAAGTCAGGTTTCTCTATAATAGAAAGGATCTGTTCATTCTCTTGGGCGTTTGGTGTCAAAGTCTTTGCCAGTGCATCGTCTTCTGTCCTAGTTAAGATGAAGAACTTTTCAGTCACAGGGTTAGAATTTGTCTCAATGTCAACCATCACATGGTGCTTTTTCATTAGAGAGGGGTCATGAAATTTAATAACCCTCTTGTTTCTCAGACTAATCTTCTTCACGGAAGCTGGAGGCTCATGCTTTTCCTCTTCCTGGACATGATGCAGATCATTAGGTTTAGACCTGAAGGAATTTATGTATTTCCTTAAAAGATATGGAGGAATAGTAATCTCTTTCTTAAAATCCTGGTACCTTCCTTCTTCAAAAACGACAGGATTGTCCCAAACTGAAGTTGAAATCTCTAAGAAGGATCAATCAGACTTAAGGTAAAGATCATGGAGCTTGTTTTGTAAAAGAATAGGAGTCCTATCATCTGTAGCAACATCTAGTCCCATCTTGTTGAGAGTAACATTGATATCTCTCGCCTCAGCGTTTTTGTCAGGGAATCCAGGTGTTGAAAATTTATAACTCAAATCTGGCTGGATGTTCTTATGGATTACTAAATTTTGTACTCCTTGCCTTAATCTTCTCTTTTTATCAAAGACATAGAAGCAAGTGGAACCGATGAGCCCATCATCCTCTTCTTTATTAAAGTCATACAAGGCAATGGAGACTGCTGAGTGAATGGGAAGTTCATTTATTTGGATAGGAAAAGTAATAGTTTCCTTCAACAAGTTGTTGAACTTATGATCTCTTGTTGTATGGGTAAAGAATAAGTCATTGTTCCCTAGAGAAAGCTGAATTTTGAAGTAAATTTCATGCTCAGGAAGGATAGAAATATCCTGACTCTCTTCTTTTACCATTCCACTTTCTTTCCTTTTCCTTTTGGACTTGGTATCGAGACAGTAATAGCTATTTTCAATAGGGTTTCCTTTCTCATCAATAGTTTGGATATCTATAAAAGCATAAATAAGAGAGATAAGGAGCCAGAAGTACCAGTGCAGGCACTTCAAGTTAGCTATGTAGTTATTCCTTACCTCTCGAGTGATCAACAAAGATCTTCTCATCTCTTCCATACTCTGAGGGATCCCATTTGGCTAATTTCTTGATCCCAAGTAAATACTTGATGTCTCTAAGATATTCCAGTGTGATTGAATACTTTAAGCATATCTGTTCTGACTTTAAGTACTCCTTCTTTGTCTCTTCTTCAAGTTCTGCCTTTGAGGACTCAAGAGCAGAGGCTGGCTCGAAAGGATTGAATTCTTTTGACATCTTATCTTCCGAATTAATTATTATTTCAATGTTCCTGACAACTTGGGGTTTTGGGGTTTTGGGGTTTTGGGGTTTTGGGGTTTTGGGGTTTTGGGG